GTTTCGGATAAAGACCCCTTGAAAAGGGGGGCAAGTTTCGAGTGCAGGTTTTAGAAAGGAAACGCAGGGGAACCCTGCGCTAGGTGCAATGGCCGAACAACTGCCGGATATAAAGGGGTACCTGAGGACTCAGGGTTTTGGGCCCCGGGAGCTGGCCACGCTGGAGGTGGCTGATAGTTGGGCCATTGCCGGACAGATAGCTTTCGAGTTGAATATACCTCACTCGGATAAACTTGAAGAGGCGGTGGTTGGGATAATCGCTACCGCTAAAGATGAACGGGATCTACTCTTCCGAACGGAAGGGGTGCTAGCTGGGGACCTCGCTTGGATGCCACTCGCTAGCTCTTCTCATGCTCCTCTCCGGCCGTGGCTGGACGATAGAGTTGAGGACCAGTCTGTGGATGAGAAGCCACCGCCGGGAGAAAAGGTGAGGAAGCTCCTGCCTAGTGGTGAAGAGAGGGCCGCTAGAGAGCGCTCAAGCTCCAGGTCCTGTGGACGCGTCATCTGGCCAATGAGCTGGATGCGATAGGAGCCCCGGTCGTGAAGTCGATAGGGGATCCCGATAGAGCCTTGAGCTACTTCCAGGGAAAACGCGATCTTCAACCCTGAAGCGCTACGTCACTATGTACAAGAGATGGCGGCTATGGCTTCAGGAGGCGAAGCGGGTGGATCCGCCCGGTAGGCCAGCAGACCTGGTGGACTACCTGCTGGTGCTAAGGGACGAGCCCTGTGCGCGCACGGTCCCTGATAGTCTGCTAAAGTCCATCTTGTGGATGGAGAGAGTTGCGGAGTTCAAGCCAGAACTCTGTGCTACAAATGGACGCCTGGCCGGGCGGCGAAGGACAAGATTGTCGAGGCCCTCTACGAGGGGGCGCCCTTGATAAGGAGGGCGCCCCGATACCCAGTGATGGTCCTGGTGGTCTTCGAGAGAGTCGTCCGGGACGAGAGCGCTTGCGGATATACGTCTGGGCAAAATTGGTGAAAAGGTGGTCTGATCTCCAAGCCATCCGGCCTGAGCCGAGCAAGAGGGTATTCCTCTCGAGGAAGGGGACGAGTGACCCCGATAAGACAACCCCTCGAGTGCACGTTGTTGATAGGATCAGCCTTGGTGATACATCTCCTTCGTCTTTATTTCAGTGTGAGAATCCACATGCTCTCCCGCTTGTCCACCCCCGCTACTTTTCCGATACCTGACGGGGTTCAGGGGAGAAGGGGGGTGGGGGAGAAGAAGATATGAGAGGAGGGGAGAGAACGGACATGTTGCCTGCTACGGTCATGTTGTGCACGTGGTTGCGGCTAACTATTACTCGCAGGGCAAGCTACTGCTACTCTGTCGGTTGTGCGTTGCACTGTCTTGCTGCTACACTATCAGGACATGGCTACTAGTTATTTAAGCGAGAAAGGGTATGCGCCGATAGCTTCTGCTTGATCGAGATTTTTAAGTGAGTTGGGAGAAGGGGGGCGCCCGGGAAAGGCTCCCGATAGTGCTTGATCTTAGGGGAATTGGGGTGCCCTTGAAAGACCCCCGCTATGTCAGACAATGTGTCGGTGATCGACGCGATAAAGCTGGTGGCCAAGGCCACCCGAGAAGACACCAACAAGGTAGTGGATATGGTCAAAGGTGCTCTGCATCCAGAGCAGATAGACGATATGCGGCTTATGCTGTCAAGGGCCCGTGAAGGCTCGCTAGCTGCTACTGCTCAGGCCGGCTCGGCCGCTACGTCCTCTGCGGCTGCTCCTCTTTGGAGCGCGATACTTCTCTGCGCCGACGTGCTTCGAAGGGGGCCAACAAGGCCACCGCTAAGTTTCAAGGGGTGCCGCCCATCGGAGAGGGAGTACCCTCCGTTATCTGCTACAACAGGCCCGGGTCGATAGGCCTGCTAGCAGGCCACCTCCTCCAGCTAGTCGGCGAGGCAGACGGTGTTCTCCACCGATGCAGGGGTGGAGGCTATGATACCGAGGACGCGCCGCCTCCATGACGCGCAGGTGTCGCTACATCGTCAGCAGCAACAACTGGACGAACGCTATCAGCGGGACTCCGAGAAGCTGGCGCAAGCTGTGGAGGAGGACCTGGTTAATCGTTTCAGGTCCTCGCTACGGGTGGCGCCCGATACAGCTGGAGAGGAAGCCAAAAGAGGTGGAGCTTCCTCTTCCACCGCTACAACAATGGGGGGGGGCTACAATGCCCCCTGCTGCTACTCGACCGCTAACAAGGACGCTTCGTCGCTCTCGCTTGGGGGGAGGGGTGACGGGCGCGCTAGGATAGATGCGAGAGGGGACTATCCGCCGCCGCCAGTCCCCAATGATGCGATAGAGAGAGGCGGCTCTCCAAGAAGGTGCCCAAGCATGTGGGCTACTTCTGCGTTGATGAGCCGGGCAGAGCCGATATGAGCTATCGCAACACGCCTGACTGCGAGAAGCTCCCAGGGGCGCTAAGTGGCCCCGGCCACGATTAGGGCTCCGGAAAGGGCGTGGGGAGGTAACGGTCATGAGAACCGCTACGGACCAGGCGAGATCCTGGACCACGTGGATCCGAAGGATCCGCTGTTTGACCCACAGAAGTACATTCCGAACTTCGGGTCGATAATTGTTGAAGAGGGCCTCACAGGCAGGGGCCGATACGATACAAAGAATGAAATTTTCCGTTGTATCATTAGATGCCCGCGCTGCCGGGCCGATATGTGCAACCGCAGGATGTGGTATGCGCTCGATCATCACCCCCAGCATTATTGCAGGGGGTGCCAGCAGGAGCTGGGGCTAGGGGGCCAGCCGGACTGATCCCGATAGGTGTCATATCCTCCCCGCTAACCCCCTTTTTTTGGATAGATAGCCGTACGCGCTACACCCGTTAAAGGGGGGGGTCGATAGGATACGCTAGATACAGCTACAGATTTCTTTTGCGAGAGGAAAAAGAGCGGACGAGACATAGTCCGATATTTCATTGTCGTGGCAAAGTGTGTGAAGCACTGCTAGTGGTTTGATGCGCAAGCTCGTTTGCGGTGCATGTTGCTAGAGCAAGAGATAGAAGACAGAGTGCTTGCAAGTGCATGTCTCGCTATTACTATGTGGCTTGACCACTGGGGAGCTTTTACTTATTTCCCGCTAATGAGTCACCAGACCTGCGCCAAAGCAAGGCCTGATACCAGCTTGCGAAGCAAGCAGATAGCAGAGTCCACGCTACTGAAACCTTCCTTTTTGGGCAGCCTGTCTTGCTAGATTTCCCGCTACTAGTTATTTAGACATGTCCAGTCAGCAGGGCAACCACCAGTGCCCGATACATGCCAGAGCAGATCCTTGGGATCGGGCGCTAGATTTTGCATCAAGCTTGTGGTTGTGTTTTTGTGGGGGCCAGAGGCGTTATGGCAGAGCCCTCGCTAGCACAGAAGCTCGAGTTGGGAGCCTCAGACCTGAGGTTCCTGCTAACAAACCATGGCATCAAAGAAGATCATCAAGGGTTTCGCAGCCATGTCCAGCTGTCGTTATCCGCCAGGTTCCTCCTCTCGGGGGGCCATCTTCCCGGGGAGCCCCCCCCATCGTGGAAGTCTCTAATTTTCCTGGCAGGTCACAAACTCTCGGTGGCCCAAAACCACCCAGGACTCTCGACCCCTCCGGTTCACAAACCGGGAAGGTGTCCACTATCTCCTCGCCGGCCTTGCCTGAGGTCTCGTCGTTCTTATCCTTGGACTGGGTATCGAGCTCGCCCTTCGGAGCTGTCGTAGCAGGTGATGCCCAGGAGGAGAGTATCATGGATGCCACCCATTGGCACATCTAGCAGGCCACATCTCGGTCCCTGAAGTTTTGAATGGACCATGCGACTGCCTGCCCCTTATCGAACCCATCCCTTTTGCCATAGGCAGCGGGGCCACATAAAACCCCTTATCATCAAAGGAGGGGGGGCCCAAGTAGCAAAAGGGAGGAAGTTGGAAGCCACCCCTAGCTAAAATTAGCAAGCGCGTAGGCTTGGGATATCCGGCTCCAAGATTGCCCTGGTGAAAAGCAAAAGTTTTCCAATCAGACTTAGCAGTGATATCGGCAAAGGCCGGCCATTGCCACATTGACGCAGGGCGTTCTCCTGCATGCGGACCATATGCCATAGCGTCCAGGTCTTCTGGCTGTTCCAGAAGCACGAAGTTGAGCTGCGTAGCGGAGGCCAAGGT